GTTTATTTATTTATTTATACTTCATTGTTACACCTTAGGCTAAAGGCTACAATGGGCGGACTTAATGCCTAATGACATTCTCTACCAGTGAACCCTTGTCATGGTTTTCTAACCCTATTTTCAAAAAACCATAATCAAAACTAATAGCTTATTTGCAAGAATTCAATATAAATGCAAGGGTACAACTATTAAACATTATATTAAAATTTATAATTGTTGAAACACTCCGTAACGGTATAAAAACATTTACTTAAGAGCTATCCAAACAATTGTTTTTAAAGGCCATTCCCATTCTAAAATTTTCTAGTCTATTTTTCTAGTCTTTTAGGTAATTTATTATAAATCATCATATATACACTCATAATTAACGTTTTTCTTGTAAATCACTTCGTGGCAAAGTGGTTGATATAATAGGTTTACATATTGTGACCTTTTATATCTAGTGAAGTCTCATTACATTTTTTGAGAGTTCTGGATGAACTTTGATAAATATAAAGACGCCCCTAACAAGGCATTGGCAAGATATCGCAAGATTGAAAAAGTGGCTTGCTGCTATACAGAAACCAGGCCTTCTTAATGACACGAATACACCGGTTTTGGATTTTAAAAACCCTATCCATGTCGACTGAATATCCCCACAACATTAAACCAGCCGAGAACTGAGGAAACATATAAAAGGTGAGCCGTTATAGCTGTCTCCATTGAAACAGTTCGCCTGAGTACAAAGTACCACAGTAGTACCACACACAAATGTAAATATGGTCATAGAGCATCGCAACGCCACGTCCGGAGTCCCCTCCGAACGGGCCTTGACGTGGCGGAGGGGCTTAGTGGCCGTGGCTTGGCACTGGCTCTCCAGGCTACCATGGCCCCGGTCAGCAAACTCGGGGGTGTTCGTTGACCGTGAAAATGGGCCCGAGTAGGAAGGTGCGCTGAATGTTCCAGCGCGCCTTACCTGGAAGAGAGGGGAGTTGCTGCGGCCGGGGCTGCTGAAGCGGCCAACGCTGACAGGGTCGCGGAAGTGTGCGAAAGCGTTCCCGTGACCCTGACGATATGCGCCTAGGTGGAATATCGTGGGGGTTTCAGTCGGTGCGAGTCCGATATAACCCACTGCCCCCGCGTGGGCGGGTATGCGTAGGCATTTCCCCCACGTTAACAAAAAAAAAATAGACAGGCCGTCCGGCGAAGTATCACGACCTCACAGAAGAACAGAAGACCGGCGTGAAGTGGAAGTGTTAGACTTTTTCGCTTCGTCTGGTGAGTCAGGGAACCGGAGCACATATTAATAAAGATGGCAACGCATATTCGCACCACCCGAAGCTTTCAGCACCCGAAGGGTGTTGCAAATGTCAATGGGCGGTGGTAGTCAGGTGAAACTCCGCTCGTTTGCCACCTGCTTACCTACATGAAAAAATGACAAGTTTATTATAAGCAAGTGGGTTGCATATCCATGTGGCTCAGTACTTGAGAGCCTTTGTAATTCATTTCATTTCATTTGTTTTCTCGTCTGGTTGGGTTTATAAATAATAAATAAAAATAAACATATATATATATATATATATATATATATATATATATATATATATATATATATATATATATATATATATATAAATATTTTATATAATACATATATAAATAGGACCCAACCAGACGGAAGCCCTCGGCAGGGGAAACCAAACGGCCGAGGGTTAGGGCGAAAGGGAGAGAAACCGGCGGACGATGCGGGCGGTATCGAGGAGCACCGCCTTCTGCATTTGAGCCTGGAGCGATCCGTCCCGGAGTCCCAGTCGCCTCAGATGTTTAGAGAGGCTGACTGGGATCAACCCATTCGCAGACACGACTATCGGGATAATTTCGGTCGGCACACCACCCCACATGTCGGTCACCTCGTGAGCCAGGTCCAGATACTTCGTCTTCTTATCTGTTTCGGCTTTCACGAGGTTCTCGTCATATGGAATGGTAATGTCGACCAAAAATACCCGCGACTGTGCCCGGTCCATCAACACGATATCAGGTTTGTTCGCGACAATTGTCCTGTCTGTGATGATGGACCGGTCCCAATAGAGCCTGGCGCGGTCATTTTCGAGCACGGCCTCCGGAGAGTACTTATAATACGGCAATTTCCGTTCCACGAGGCCGTATTTCAGAGCGAGCTCCTGGTGTAGGATTCTGGCTACTAGGTTGTGTCTATGCAGATACTCAGAGTTAGAAAGCATGGAACAACCGGAGATAACATGCCGAAGCGTGAGTCTTCATTATTATTATTTAACTTTATTTGTTTAAGTCCTTAATAATAATTTTTGTTACTATAATCAACAATAAAATCTCTCTTTATATACTTTAAATAAATTTTAAATATTTTTTGTGGATTTATCGTGTCATTTTTAATTTTAGTTCTGACATTTCGTAAATTCGTAAAAAATTGTTTCATTTAGTAACCGTGCAAATATAAGAAATTTTCGCTTATTTTAAAACATGACAATCTGAGTCTACTGACAAACTAAAATTCGTAAAAAAAGTAATAAAAAGTAGGCAGCGTAGTAGGCAGGTGACTTCTAAAAATGTTAAACTGTCTTAACTGGGATTCATTAGCATTAGAGCTATCTTAAATGCACCGTTCATCTAATCGTTTCTCGGTTGTTCTTGCAAACAACTAGGCCTAGACTCAATTCCGCGTATCGCCATTTGCATGTGAGACCGTTTGAATGCGCATATGTTAGTCTACGTTTGTTTTATGTATTTGGAAAAATTACAAAAATCAAAGCACCACATTAATTGTCACTATTATCAATAATATGTATAGAAATTCTTGCAGAGATTTGCAGCCTTAAAATTATCTACATTAGAAGTTGTCAGAAGTTTTTGCACCCTTGAAATTACCTACGATATAGATGCAATACTTGCAATGCTAATACTCTATTAGTCTTGCGTACAATATTTGGGACTTAGAATACGCGCTGAAAAATTCCAGATCGGTGTGTTCTGTTCGATTGAATGTGTATCATATTACGTAACAATGTTTATCAATCTACCTTATCAGAGCCCGTTTCCCGTCCCATGGTCGCATACCGCGATAACGTATACACTAATGCAATTACGCAACCTAATCTAAGTCTAAACAATGGCCCGCGTTACTGCACATGTGCTCACGCGCACGTGTACTGCGCACGTTGCGCGTCGCGTGCCATGCACTCGCATCACAGCAGCGCAGATAAGCGAATTGTGCACTGCCAAGTGATCACAGATGCTTACGATCTCGACTCTCGACACGAATATACCCTGTCTGTGTCCCCTACTTTGTAATATTGGCGGTTCATTAGCGTCCAACGAGCGCTGCGGTACTGTGCATATGTTGGCATTGGAAATATTCTGATAAATGGGCACTGGTATCTAAATTGTTACGTAAGCGAGGGGGATTTGCCTAGTTGAAAATAAAAGAAACAGGACACATGGCGAGAGATAGTAAGTTAAATTGGACAGAAATTATAGCAGAGTGGTAACCACGTGATGGCAAAGGAAAAGGGGAAGAAGGGCAAAGAGATGGATAGACGACATTAGAAAAATTGGAGATGCTACTAGACCGCTAGAGCAGAAATTAGTGGAAACATCTGGAAGAAGTCTGTGTCACAGGACACGTTGATCACTAAACCAGGAAACCCGATGTATTAAATTTAAGTTTTTTAATACTACTAAATTGTACTTGTGTTTAGTTCTTCAGCAACAAAGTCTTAATAAAAATGAGTGTCCGCGAAAATTAAAACATGCGAATTTGAATTGTTATGGCCATATGCATAATAAGCAATCGAAACATGATTTAGCAAGAATATGAGGTTTAGAACCTTGCTTAGGTTCTATCTAACGCAAAAATCTAGAAACTAGAAACTAGTGAAGATATATTGTTGTATGTATTTAGAATAACTCATGGAACCGATGACAAAGCCAAGCCGACCAAAGCCAAGTAACGGCCATCGCAGTTTAAGACGAGTTTAACCCTCCATTAGATGGATGTGCTCAAAGTCGATGGGTTCAGGTAGCTAAGGATCATACTTCGTGACAGTCTGTGCGTAACGTCCTTGTTTCAGCAGTGGACTCAATAAGGCGAAATGATAATGACGATTTTGATCTATATTGAATTTTTGTTAAACACGCGTAATTATTGAAAGTATAATAATACAAATAAAAATAACAAAAGGGCACATGTAATCAGTTTTATGTTTGCTGTTCTAAGTTGATTTATGAAAGAAAGAAAGAAAGAGATGATTTATGGACGTACAGAGAGATTATGAGAATTACTTGATGGCCGATAAGTTTTAGAAAATCTCTTTAAGGAATCTGTAATTTTTCTTTAATTCCATTATCATAACAATGTCCATTTCCTGATATTGTCTTCATTGTTTAAGAGATCATTAAATAAATTTATAGTGACTGTAATCCGCGGCAGCGAGACTTTAATCTATCCGAATCAATACAGTGCCCCATAATTGGAGAACTTCGATGCGATGGCTAAATTTTTACCGAATAACGAATAACAAACAAATGAAAAAATGTCGCAAACTATGGTTTTGACAAAAATCTCTCATAAAGTGAACTTAGATGACACTAGTTTTTAAATCTCGAAATTACTTGATATCAATAAAATATCTGTCCAGTAAGCATGAAGTGTTAGAAATGACGGAAATTTAAAATCAAAATGAAAATCAGTAAAATTATATAGGTAACGATGAAAAATAATCATAACGAAATGTCGCTCGAAAGATGTATTTCTATGCTAAATAATAGACAACGTATATTAATTCAAATTAAATGACGAAGTTGTTATTTATAACGGTTGTGTTAATTCGCTTCCCCTTATCGTTATACGCTAACGGAATGTCACTAACGTAATCGCGCATTAGATTCGATTGACCACCGTTACCCCGAAACCGCAAAACAATTAACTATAATTAGGCGCGTATAAATGCGCCAGAGAAGCGTAGGCGGCGCACTGTTGATTCAAAATGGCGTCGAAGTCGCTTCTGCTGGGCGCCATCTTGCTTTTCTGTCTCGCGGCATCGGTGAGCGGGAACGGAGATCTGATCGTCGGTTCCACGTACGGCAAGCAGCTGATACACCACGAGATCTTCCATAAGAAGGCCATACCGTTGCAGAAGCGAACGGAGGAGGTGGAGATAAGGGCGCCGGGCAACAAGACGATCCAAGCGGTCGTTGTCAAGGATATAAAGGGCAACGGCGAGAGTTACATAAAGCGCGGCGGTGTCGGGATGAGCAGCGTGACCTTGAAACTAAAGAGCGCGAGGGGCGAGGGCTACAGATTCTCCGTAGACATTTACGCGTAGACCGAATGTTTGCAACATCAATAAATGTCTACGAAAGGGTCATGTCCGTATATCTTGTAAACCTTTTGGTATTTATTATTATTTTTCGACATTAAATTTTAAGTGTACTTCCATTTTTTTTTTCGTTTTACCTTTTTTCGTTACTGATGCTTTACCGCTTATAATCATTCTTGTGTGTCACGCTTACAGAATGTTATCTATCTCAAAGTGTTCTTTCAAAATTCGTAAAGCTGACCTATAGATTTGTTTTTATTTCAAAGGTTTTCTTTTTTTATAAATACAGGGAAAAGAAATATGAAAACATTTCAATGTGAACTCGCCTAATAAGTTTCTAAAAATAGTGCCGCGATAACTTACCAATTAAGAAGCTAACGTGATTGAAAAATTCTATGGTATAAATAGAACTATTTAATTATAGTGGAGAATAACTTTCCTTAAATACGTAGTATATGTTACACGTGTTCTTCAACATATTTATAGTTTATTTTAATTTCAACAGCGTCAATGTGTTGTAGCAGAACTCATTAATACAGTTTCTGTTGCATGAATGAATCGGCTGGTCTGGGGAAAAAATTATCTGTGAAAGACCAGCATAAGGCAGAAGTATTCCTTATTCAGTGGTTAAACTAACATCCTGAATATCCGATAACATGAAAAACACCCCAAATCCTGTGTATTTCACAAAACCATTAACCACGCCCTACTACTGCATTAAATCTTACGACAGCTTTACAAAATTAAGAGGCCTTTATGCAATATGCGTCTAGAAGGCCCCTCATTGGTGCAGGTTAACTACTATATAAAGTGCAGGTTAATACTACTGTGTTGCGAACATCCGGCCGCGATAGCCTATCAGCCACCACTGGCCTGTTCTCCACCTAAAATTAAAAAAAAAAACGGTCTCATAAACAATCACGTCCGAGCGGCCGTATCGCTTGTTTTGAGCAACGGCTTTATTTTTAGAGTTCGAAGGCGTTAACTTTATCAATGTCGTTTTACGGTCCATTGTTCGTACGGCGTGTTAGTAAACACTCAGATAGCGGAAGAGTCGAATGGGGACGGCAACACGTCCCTTGGCGCGTCGAAAATCTTTCGGATTGCCGCGACAATTATTGCCAACGTTGTGCAACGTTCGTTGTTTCGTTGTCTTTGTCGTTGTAACAAATTCATTGTGCACTCTCGCGATCAACGAAAGTTCGGTGTGTTGCGGATTGATGTTTTATTTCTCCACTACACAAAACAAAGTCGTCCCGCTGTCTATCTGTCCCCATGTATGCTTAAATCTTTGAAACCACGCAACGGATCTTGATGCGGTGGAGATATTTTGACATCAGTATTATGAAGTTAATGTGAAACATCTATCGCTGGTAACCAAATCTACAGATGGATAGAATATTGACAACGGCAGATGAGCTGGTGTAAACTGAACAATAACAGATGCCCATGGACATCTGCTACAACCGAGAGTTCCAGACGCGTTAACAATCACCAGACTGAAACTCAAACTCATGACCAGACGAAACGCGAAAGTATTTGTCATACTTCCACTTTACGCTGGTCTTCTGTGTGGTCGTGGTACTTACCCGGACGGGCCTGCCCTTTCATGCAACAGCCGAGGCTGCTGCGTGGCCCTACCATAGACATAATAAAACAACAACAGAATGAGGAATATCTAATTTCTTTTACACTGAATAACCTTTATTACACAGGATTACCTGCTACTACGTTTTAGATAGCTCAGTGTCCGGGCGCTCAGCCTCAGATAGGTTCATTCGGGCAAGGACCAAAGTCTCGCAAGACCGGTATGGCGTAAAATACGTTTGCATTTCGTCTGTTGGATGAGGTAACCAACCACGCGTCCTGTAAATGTCCATAGGCAAGGGTAAACACATAAGATTTACCTGAATGCCTGCTCCCTTGCCAAATGATCACATAAAAAACGAGTAGATATACCGGAAGAAATACAAAATGTGAAATATTTTTTGTTTATGATGAACATAAACAAAAAATATTTCACATTTCGACTTTTCTATCTCTGACAACCGACAAGGAAGCCACTACGACGTTCCACAATGTATAAACACCAACCGTCTGTTCTCGTGGCCTCGGCAAGTACGAACCAAACTTTGTAACTAACTTAACTGTGGTAGGGCCACCCAACAGTGTACGAATGGACAGGTTCGTCCGGGTGAGTACCACGACCTCCCAGAAGACCGGCGTGAAGTGGAAGTGGTATACTTCTGCGTTTCGCCTGGTGAGTGAGGTAGCCGCGGCCCACTGTATTAAAAGGTAGCAACGCGTCTACAACCCTAGGAGTGTTGCAAATGTCGATGGGCGGCAGTAATCACTTAACATCACGTGAACCGACAGCTCGTTTGCCACTTGTTCACATAAAAAACTTTGTTCCACGGCGAACGTACACAAATTAAAATTTGGTGCCCGTTTAAGTTTTTTGCCGCTGCGAATTCGGTATTTCTCGACGCAAAGGTCGGCTGATGTATCTTAACGTATTGTTTTAAGCGCGCCGGGATTTTTGGTATACACGTGATCGGCTCACGTGTATATCGCATTAGGTTTTTGCACCGATTTTCGGACACGACCTTGTCTCGGTCGACGCCGGCGGCATTACCAGTCCACGCCCGGGTCAAATTCAATAACCATATATAAATGTCGTTACATAATCTAAACGATTAAAGTTATTCATACAACTAAAGGTACGTTTATACTATTAACTTTGTTCTATCGAGCTAAGAAGGTATAAATATAAAATATTTTTATCAAATCACCGTAGTATTACTTTGTAATTTGAGCGCCTCAGTTTCGGAGCGCTAATGTCATATCTATATTTGTATACATGTAATGTAATTTATCATCATGGACTTTAATGAGAAAGTGGATTTAGATGGAAATTACCTACTGCCAATGTACGTTTTAAATACGTAGGTGTATGTATGTCGTTGAAAAGAAATATCAGCATTGACAGATTGACAGAAGAAAATCTACCATGTGAATGTTTAACTGTGGTAGTACCTGCTAACTCCCAAAAGACCTTTTGAAGTAAATGTGTTAAATATAATACTTTTGCGTTTCATCGGAGGTTTTTTTATGGGAAAAGGTGGCAGGTGAACTGGCGGTTGACCTGATGTTAAGTGATAACCGCCGCCCATGGACATTTGCAACGCAGCAGTCGCAGATGCGTTGCCACCTTTTAATAAAGTGGGCCCCGGCTACCTCACTCACCAGGCGAAACGCGAAAGTATAACACTGCCCATTCGTACAACAGCTGAGGCTGTTGCATGGCCCTACCACCGTGAATGAACCGGATCACTCTTGGTTTTTAAGGTTGGTAACACATCTGGTGTTTATGATTAAGGATTAAGGATGATTAAGGATTCACCTCCGCGAACAGTTAACATCAGGTGAACGGCCAGCTGGCTTGCCAACATTTCACATAAAAAATATATAAAAGTCCGTTAACACGTGCAAAGTAAATTTTTATGCTTTCCCAAAAATAATCTTACAACAAAACTTTAATCTTGTCAAAGCGACGTAACATGCTGACATCGTAAATGTCAACAGGTTTTTTTTTTAGTAATCGGATAATTGTCCTAATCGAGATGTGATTAATTCAGTTCGAATGTATTTACGTATTAACGTGTGGGTTTTTTTTTTATTAGTAAATCTCATTAGATATGACTAACTCGAAACAGCATCACAGAAGAACAGTCATCGGCTTATTCATGATGGGTGTTGAGATCAATTTCTAATCATAGTACTAATATTCGGACAATTAACGGAATTCAGGGATAGTTTCCAATAGTCAACAAATCCAATCTGAAACAAGTCGATCTGTCCGTGTTTAATTCCTCTTTTTAAACGCCTGTAAAACATAGTAATAGTGATATGGTGGGGTGATGTATATCAACATATTTTTAAATGAAACTCTCATAGGCATAGCAAACTAGGCCTAGACTTACAAAAGGTAGCAGCAAAGACTGAACGCAAAAAGATTACATCGTATGGTGGGGGTTCGATCCCCACTACTGGAAAAATATTGTGTGATGAACGTATTGTTTTATAAAAGTATGTTTATTAGTTTTCTAGTATCCATAGTACAAGTGTCGTTTAGTATGGGATTAGAGAACGTTGTATGAACCCTTTCTCATAACCAGTAACGCCATACGTCGTAGGTTCAATTCCACTGTGAACTAGAATTTCTATTGAAACAATTATTCGATACCGAAGAAAAGCCCTACAGAAGGAGTTATCTTTTGGTAAGGTAAATATGAAGAAAAAACTTTTTCATTTCTTTTTTTTAAATTGGATATTACTGCACACCGGTTATGTACTTAATGTGGTATTCCCAAAAAACAAGTTTCGCTATTGCACGAAAGGGCAGGCCCATCCGGGGAAGTACCAAGACCTCACGGAAGACCAGCGTGACCTGGAAGTGTTAGACTTCTGCGTTGCGTCTGGTGAGTGAGGTAGCCGGGGCGCACAAGGGTACCCCCCTTGTGCGCCCCGGCTGGATAGAAAAAACCTTTTATGACCACAACTTACTTCAAGTACCGGGTGTGCAGACTCGTATTAAATGCTTGCTTAGGCTTGTATAAATATACAAAACCATTTTTTTCCTTATGGAGCTGTTATAGATTTAATAGGCCATTAATGTTAAACACATAGGCGTATATAGCAGGGGGGCCGGGTGGGCCGTACCCACCCCGGTATCGTCTAGTGCCCACCCCCGGATTTAGGGGTACTGATTAGAAATTCTAGGCTGGATGCCTAAGAAACTTAAAAAATCATTGAAATCAAATAATTATCAACAGCCGAGAAATCTATGTACATACTTAATTTTTATTACATACTATTTTACAATACATTCTGTTTATTTACTTGTGAATACACAACGACTAACTACTAGTTAGTTAATACTACTATTATAAATTAATATAAATTATTAACGATAAAGAACTGTTATTTCTTTAATAAGACGC